TCTCTCTCTCTCTCTCTCTCTCTCTCTATCTATCTATCTATCTATCTCTATCTATCTATTTCTCTCTCACCATTCTCCATTCCCGTCTATCTTTTCTCTTGTCTCTGATTCTTTTCTGGTCGCCCTTTTTTCTCCATTCGTTCCTTTCTCTTCTTTTCTCTATCTCTCTCGTTCCTTTAAGGTCTACTTTGGCGCACGTCAGTTTGCGTACATGTACTGTATGTACGTTTGTGTGCATATGTATAATAAGATAGTGATTTAATCAAAATACACTAAATACATCTCTTTTTTGTGTAAAGTTATTAATTCTCATTCATATCTTTTTCATAATCATCAAAAAAAATAAAATTATTCATACCTTTTTCATATACATAGCTAAATTCATCTTCTTGCGTTGTTAAGTTATTCATTCTCATTCATACTTTTTTTCTGCATTTGTCACAATGAACTCTGTGTGTTTTGCGTGGCTGCCCTCCGCCTGACCCGCCCACACGATCTGATCTCTCTTGTGAGTAGCTGACGAGACGCTGACAGGTGACTGACGGCGCCTCCTGTCTGCTGCCTTGCAAGCAGACCCTCCTGACGTCGTATTTATGTCTACTGACGCGTCGGCTCAGGCCCTCATCCTCTCCTCTCTCTCTTCTCTTCTCTCTTCTCCCTTCCCCTCTCCTCTCTTCTCCCCTCCACTCCCCTCTCTTTCCTTCTCCTAACTTCCATTCCCCTTTCCTCTCATCTCCCTTCCATTTCCCTCTCTTCACTTTTCCCTTCCCTTCCCTTCTCATTTCCCCTCCTCTCTCCTCTCTTCCCTTCACTTCCCTTCCCCTCTGCTCCCTGCTTCCTTCCCTTTCCCTCCTCGCCCCTCTCCCTTCCCCCACCCTTTCCTCCCTTCCCTTCCCCCCTCCTCCCTATTATCCCATTCTAAATTACCTCACCCTATGATCCTCCCTACAGCCTCCTTATTACCCAACCCCCACTAACTTCCCATTACCTCTCCCTTATTACCCCTTCCCTGCCATTACCCAACACCCATTAGCTACCCATTACCTCTTCCCTGCTAACCCCCCCCCCCCCCCCCCCCCCCATTTGCCTCTTCCTGAGTCGGCTCTTGTTCCTGAGGTTGTACTATGCTTGCCTGTTGCCTGCACGCGGCGGGCCTTCGCTTTATGGTGTGGACGTGATCGGGAGTTAAGTGATATTAATGAACGTGTGGACTACAAGGCGGGACTGTTGAGGGGAAAATGTATTTGTTGTTGAGTGTTTGATATATATACATATAAACACATACACACACACGCACACACACACATGCACACACGCACACACACACAATATACATATATATATATATATATATATATATATATATATATATATATATACATATATATATATATATATATATATATATATATATATATATATATATATATATATATATATATATATATATATATGTATATATGTATATATGTATATATGTATATATATATATATATATATATATATATATATATATATATATATATATATATATATACACACACATATATATACATATGTATATATATATATATATATATATATATATATATATATATATATATATATATATATATATATATATATATATATATATATATATACATATATATATATATATATATATATATATATATATATATATATATATATATATATATATATATATATATATATATATATATATATATACATATATATATACATATGTATATTATATATATATATACATATGTATATATATATATATATATATATATATATATATATATATATATATATATATATATATATATATATATATACACACACACACGCGCACACACTTTTATTGAAAAATGGAGAAGCTTTGGTGCTAAAGCCCCCAGCGTCGTCCCCTGACAAGGCAGTAACCCGGACCGGCCACAATGCCCCTACACAGCTATCTCGGTGGGAGATCGCAGCGTTATCAATTGCATCAGTTGCAAGGAGCCCAGAGTTGCTCGCTTCCTTTTCTTGCCTTTATATTTTACCTCAAATGTTGCAGTTTGTGCGGGTGTGTGTGTGTGTGTGTGTGTGTGTGTGTGTGTGTGTGTGTGTGTGTGTGTGTGTGTGTGTGTGTGTGTGTGTGTGTGTGTGTGTGTGTGTGTGTGTGTGTGTGTGTTTTCAATCTGTGAGAGAAATATGATAACGATATCCTCACGTAGAGAGATAAAAAAACGTAAAGACAAACAAACAAACTGATATTAACGAAGAAGAAGAAGAAGATGATGATGATGAATCAATAAAGCAAAAAAAACAAAAAACATGAGGGGGGGAGGGGATAATCCTAACTAATACCACATTATCCACGCGAATTACACATTGCATGGCCCGATGTAATGAATCATACAGTGCCTTCCGATTCAACGAGTGTGTTTGCAAAGGTAAATAAAGTCACGCAGATTAAGGTGTTTGCGTGTTAAATGTTCCCTTTGCTTCG